AAGCACCTTGCCAATGTCGCCCCCTCCCCCCCTTCTTCCCCCCCCCCCACCCCCCCGCTCCAGTGGGCTCCCAGGATAGCTTGCTGGAGATCACCTTCCGCTCTGGAGCTCTTCCCGTGCTCTGTGACCCCACGACCCCGAAGCCAGAGGACCTGCACTCGCCGCCCCTGGGCACGGGCTTGGCCGACTTCGCCCACCCGGTGGGCAGCCCCTTAGGTAGGCGCGACTGCTTGGTGAAGCTGGAGTGCTTCCGCTTTCTCCCGCCCGAGGACACCCCGCCCCCTGCTCAGGGTGAGCCGCTGCTGGGCGGCCTGGAGCTCATCAAGTTCCGAGAGTCAGGCATCGCCTCGGAGTACGAATCCAACACGGACGACAGCGAGGAACGCGACTCGTGGTCCCAGGAGGAGCTGCCCCGCCTGCGGAACGTCCTGCAGAGGCAGGAGCTGGGCGACAGCCTGGACGATGAGATCGCCGTGTAGGTGCTGTGGTGCTAGCAGGCGGAGGCCGTGGCCGAGGTGTGGAGGGCCAAGTCTGGCTGCTGCCCGGGTAGGGCCTGCCGGCGAATGCGCACTGCTGAGGATACCCAGGGGCCCCGAAGCGATTACAGTTTCAGAAAAGGATTAGGGTTTTGTTTTGGAGGGTCAAGTGGGGAAGACATTGGATTCCCAGAAGTGAATCAGGTCCTGCCTCCTGCTTGCGACTACTGGGTGGGTGGGGGTTGGGCAAGGGGCCTCTCAGAGGCCATGGCTTTGGGAGAGGGTCCCTCTTGAGGACCACCAGGCTGCTGAAGGACCTGCTCCCTGCCTGCTGCATCATCAGGTTCCCCTGCTCTGTCGTGTGACGCCCCCTCGCCCACCCCCCACTTCTGTGGTCCCGACTATGAAGGGAAGCCGTCGGTACCTTCTCAGGTACTTTGTGTTTGGATATCAGGATGCTACCAGTTGCCTAACTCGCCCCTGACCTTCGTGGGAGGAATTCCTTCTCTAGGCCCTTGCAAAGATTGTAGACGTCGAATGCTTTAGGCTGAAAGACAGGATAGTCCTTTCAGTGTGAACGTGGAATTGGGATGTGTCACATTGCGGGGATAAGCTTTCAGATGAATTGGATCCAATCACTTTATCTAGGTGGGCTTCAGGTGTTGCTACTGAGGGAGACTGGGAGTTTACTGTCATTCAGGCCCTTGCCGTGAAAGCCCGTGGGGAGGACAACCTCTTGCCTGCCCCAGATCACTTAGGTCTGATTCCTCAGTGTGGATGCCCTGCCCACCTCCTGCCTGAAAGTCCAGCTCATCCACATGGAGGCTGGAAAGCTGCCCTCTCTCCCCTGTGTCCTGCCTCAGGGGCTGTGCCAGCTGAAGCTTTTTTAGCACTCTTGCCTCTATAAAAGCCTCAGAGACCCGGAGCCCCCAGCCTTACCTCTCAACCTGTCCCTTCCACTGGGCAGTAGTGGTCAGTTTTTACTGCAAAAAAAAAAAAAAAAAAAAAAAAAAAAACATAGACTGGTAGCTGAGACCGCTCAAGTCCACTCTTCAGAATCACTGCCACTTAAGTCAAAGACGATAGTCACTTTGCCCTTGATCTGTCTCCCTGTGGGTGCATGCCTCGAGCACACCTGTAAAAAGTGCCAGGTGCAATTCTCTTTTACCATCTAGGCCTAGAGATTCCCACCTGGTGCAGTGAGCTGATTGGGGCAGGGAGGGCTAGTTTACTTGTCCTTGGTTCCAGTAAGGCCCTAAGTGGCTGTTAACAGATTTAAAGGTGCCTGAAGAGAGAGCTGAGACGTGCTAGTGCCAAGTGTTGGGGAAATAAGTCTTTATCTTGGACAGCAAACCACAGACCCAGACTGCAATATTATTTGGGGATCAATTGGTAAGGATGTGGTTGCAAAGTTGAGTTCTTCAAGCCTAACTTGGCTTTATAAAATATAGAAATGAAAGTGCAGATCTTATAGCTACAGTTGGATTTCTTCTAGACCAGAAAGTCCAAATTAAGGAAATAAATGTAGCTTTGTGTTAGCCTTCCTTGGTGCACGAGGGTGTCAGTGGAATGGGACGGGTGCGTGTGTGTGTGCATGTGTGTACACGTGTGCTGGCATTGACACACACGTGTGAGGGAAGGTGTATACGTGTGCATAGGCTTGTGAGAAGTGACCAGAGAGAAGAGAATGGGAATCTCCAGGGTGTTTGAATCAACAGTAGATTTGTGTTCTTTTTCTAATGTGCATTTGGTTGGAGAGAGGTGGTCCTGTTTTTGTTATACTTTCTAATTAATCATTGGAAGTAGGTCCAGGTACACAAGGGAAGGAAGAACCATGAAATCAGAGGAGAGAGGTTAGGAGTCCGGTTTGGCTGAGCCTCTCTAGCTAGCTTACAAAATCCTACCCGGGCTTCCTTGAGTGTGGGACCTCTTAGCTCATTAGAATTTGGGGTGTTCAGGGGAGTGGAAGGTCTGGCTTCTCCAGGCCCACTGCCTGCAAGCAGGGGCTGAGGACAAAGCCAGAGGCCAGTGGATTAGGCGTGTGGGAGAAAGGAGACGGTGGAGAGGTTGAAGAATTGGAGAGACTATTTCTATGTACCGCTGACTTGGGACCCATTTAAGACCCTTGCCCTCGGTGTGCCCCGCAGTGGTTTCCACCCACCTCGGCCCCGTTCTTTCCCCAGTTCAGGCCCTCCCTGGAGCACTGGTTTGTGTGTTGGCATCCTCCTCAGTGTGACCCACACCAGCGCGCACTGGGTCTGTTGGAGGTGAAGGAGACAAAGGACAGATCTAGGGGCCTTGAAGGGTCACCAGCCACTGGGCAGGAAAGGGAATGTTGCAGACCTGATCTCCGAGCAATGTCACCCTGTCCTCCTCTCTCCTTGCTTCTTGCTCTGCTAACTCAACTCCTGCCCCCCTCTTTTTCATCCTTCTGCTCTGCCCTGTATGGAGGACAAGTGGACACCAGGGGCGCCTCCCTTACTGTACCTGCCCCCGCCTTTCCTGGGTGCCAGCAGACTCTTGGGTACACAAGGCTCCCCCAGTTGCGGAGCCAGGAAAGAACTTCTCTGCACAGGATGGACTGTACATTGGGACTGAAAATCATATTCCTGCATATACCAATGCTGTCTATAAAGCCTCTTCATAGCCTCACTTCTCTCAACTCTCATTTAGGGGTTGTATTCCTTTTATTTTCTCTTTGCCTGACTGCTTCCTCCCCCTCTGCCCCCTCCGCCTGAGCCCTCTACTTCCTAAAACTGTGTGGCATTAACTCTGTTGGATCAACTCTCTGGGAAAAGATTCTGTTCATGTAAGTGCACTTACTCCCTGGATGTTGTCACTAGTCTAGTGGCTTTTGCTAAATAAACCTTTCTTGTTTCTAAAAGCTTTTCCATTGTCTTTTCTTGCCTTTTCTATTCTACCTGCTCCTTCCCCCACCTGCCTCCCAACTTCCCAAGCCCGGTGGCATCAGCTCTGTGACGCACCATTCCCAAGGGTGTGTGGTGTTTAGAAAGAACTTGCGTGTTCCTTCAAGGAGCAGGGGACGGTGGTGCCTTCAGTGGCAGTTTATTCAGACCAACCTTGCAGGATCGGGCTGTACCAACGGTTCTTATCCAAGGGTGATTTCGCTCCCCTAAGGGATGGATGTTTGGTGACATCTGGAGACGTTTTTGGTTGTCACAACTCGGAAGGAGGCTATTGACACGTAGTGGTTGGAAGCCGGGGATGTTGCTAAATAATTCTACAGTGAACAGAACAGCCCCACCACAAAGAATTATCCAGCCCAAAATGTCAGTAATGCCTAGGCTATACCCGTTTTGTTTTTTTTTTTGGACTCTCCCAAACCCCAGGTCTTTTCAAATTCCAGACATCACTGGACTATACTGGCAGCAGCAAGCTTTGAGTGCTTGAAAAAGTACATCATAGATATTTTCAGATATAATTAAGATCATCAAGATTATAAAATTTCACTGACTCCCCGACTAAATGTCTGAAATATGTAGTTGGTAGGTTTCTGGATGGGCCCATTCCAGGAATGTCCATACTGGAGGCAAACAGACTTCTGCCCACACCTGCCTAGGAGGGTTATGGTGTCGCTGAAACACAGCTCAGCAGAGGAGTCCTGACTCATTGAGGTGTGGGCTTTCCTGCAGGGAGTAGAGATGAAAGGGGAGGAGAGATGCTGGCAGAGAGGGATGTTACAGAAATACGGAGCTGCAGGATCTCGCAAAACCCACGTCGTGAAAACCAGGCTCCCCTGACTGGAACACATAGCCATTTTGAAGGCAGAGGTTTTGTTAAACCTGATACTTTGGTAGGCCAGGCCTGAAGGAAAGTTGGAGGGTCAGATCAACCAGGGTCACATATCCTCTGCCCTTTTCTGGCTGAGTGAACTGAACTGAGCCTTATTTTCTTATCTGTAAAATGGGAATACAACACACCACATAAGGCTATAACGGAGAGTAGATGAGATTGTATTTTAGAAGCACCCAGAAGAATGCCTGGCAGTGGCCCAGGGCACAATACAGTTTACCCCCTCATTAACTGGGGGTGGGGGGACGTGTTTGTTCTGCTCGGTGCAGTTGTGTTCTGCTCGGTGCAGTTGTGTTCTGCGTGCATTTTCTGCTGTGCAGAAACTATTCAGAGCTCTGAGAAAGCTGAGAAAGCTGAGAAAGCTACTGGGGTCATAATGACCCTACGTTAAATGTGAAAGGTGGAAAGTACCCTGTCCTTAGGGAGAAAACGCTAAATTCTCACACCTGCCAGGCCATGATTAGCATGTGCTTTGGCCCTTGGGCTCAGTCCCTGGCCTTTGGATGGATTTCTTTCTCTCTCTTTTTTTTTTTTTTTTTTAAGCTGTGCTCTGTGCCCATGATGTGGATTCCCTGGAGGAGGGAGTGAGGGCTGGGCAGAGGGAGAGAGACCAGATGAGGAGTGATTCCATGCCTGGTCCTGCCGCAGACCATGCTGAGACTGCGACCAGTCTCCTCAAGTCCATTCCGTGTCCCCCTCCTTGTAGTCCCTCAGGAGCCCTGTCAAGGGGACACACATGCACAGCAGTGTCTGTAAGGAGAAGCCTCCTTACAGGCTGTAAGGGGGCTCCAGTGGCCTTTCCATTTAGGAAAGCAGGAGCTCAGAGTGAGGACTAAAGACTCGCCCGAGTCACTCATCCGCTCTGGGAACCGGGCCCTGGAAGCAATGGAATGATGTCAGGGCTGCCTGCAGACCACCCTGCCCCTCAGTGAGTGGGTGGGACCCTGCATGTCCTGGCTCCCGGGCCAGTTGGAGCCTGCAAATCAAGTAGACTCTGGGACTGGGACTTAATGGGTGGAGGGTGAGGGAAA